TATATATATATATATAAGGATTGAAATATTTTATTATTTGAACGTAAATGTATAATTTATATAATATTTTATTGGTCTATATTAAATACATGATACATATTATAATAATATTATCATAATATTCACCGAACATATGATAGAATTGAAGTTTTTTTTTATACTTTTATAATATAATACTCTTATTTTATTATATTCTCACATCATATCCAATCATTACCATCAAACAGATCAAGCTTAAAACATTGACTTGCATTGTTCTCTGATTTCAATTTATTTTTTATAATTAATTTAAATTTATTAACTTCATTGTTTTTTATAAATGAAGAAGGGGTAATTTTCTACTTAGCTATCACCACGAAATTGATATTAAAAAAATATATTTATTCAAAATTTAGTCACATCCAAATGATAAATAAATAATATAAAGGATTAAATATTTTTTTTTTATTTTCATAATTTAATTAATTTTTCTTTTAGTATTTATATCTTAAAATACTCTTTTAAGTTTCTATGCATATTATTTATTTTTTATTTTAGTTTTTGTTGTTTATATTTTATTAACATCGTTTATTTTATTTCTTGTTTGTATTTTATTAACGTCGTTTATGTTGTGATGATGTGATAAAAAAATTTTGATGTGACATTTATGACAACTTTTTATTTAAATGTTTTTTTAGTTTAATTTTTTTTCTAGTCTTTATAATTTTTATTTATTTTTTCTTTTAGTTTTTATAGTTTAAAATACTCTTACCTAATTTTTATACATATTTTTTTTATTAGTTTTCATCATTTTAATTTTTATTAATGCCATTTATGTTGTGATGAAATGATAAAGATGAACATGACATTTTTTAAGTGAATTCTTTTTTATTTGTTAAAATTATGTTGCATTAGATTTTTATTGTTCAACTGCAATGTTTTGGTGTGTAATCTTAAATCTAAGACTAAGACAACTATTGTTGAACTTTGATTGTTTCTTTCTTATAATAAGCGTCACTGTCAGAGGTAGAGATGCTAATATCTCGAGTTTATAGATTATTTGGATTGTGATTATCATGGGCACATGTTATTTTTCTTTAGGAGAGGAAGGGGGAGGTTCAATGGCAAAAGTAGAACATCCTCTTTAAGTGTTACCAATTATATATGAGAAGGAGGAGAGATTTTATACATAAGGACTTATAAAATTTTGGTGAAAATTAATGAGGCCCTAATTATATAGGGAATGAATTTTATTTATTTATTTTTTGTTGATTTCAAGTTACATTATAGGTGTCTTTGAAATTTTGGTTATTGTCTTCCATTTGGTACTCAATGTAAAAAATATAGAGTTGTAGTACTCTAGATTGGTAGATGAGACAACATTTAAACATATCTCTTGTATTTCATATAAACAATTGTAATGAAAAATATTTTAAAAATGTTTCACAACTATTCAGGTGGCATACAGGAGAAATGTTTAGAATGAACGAGATTTTTCATAACAAATTACGTTTGAATAGTAATTACAATTGAAAAATAAGAAACACTTTGCACTAAAACCTGAAATAAACTAGAAATCAAATACATTACTCCATGATTAGACATCTTAGTATTTTTTTCCCAAAACTTCCAAGCTCTCAATGTATACAATCTCACCTCCTTTTACATGTACACTAACTGATCTTCAAAGAATGTCTTATAATGTTGATTATTGAACTTCCAAAAATGATTCATGCTAATATTAATTACAATCCAAATCTTTTATAAACTCAAACTATTAACAATTTCAACTCCGTTAATGTTTTCTCCTTGAAAAAAAAAAAGAATTGAAACTCAATAATAATTGTCATAGTCTTAAGATTAAAATCAAACATAAAATTGTCATACTTAGATAATGGAGTCTAATATACAATAAATTAAAAGACTTTATTTCAAAATGATTTTTTTTATGTAATCACAACACAAATAATATTAATAAAAATAATAAAAAAGAAAATAAATTAAAATTCACAAAGTAAAAAAAGAAAGTATAAAAACTAAAAAAGGGTAGTTAAACCTAATAAAAAAATACTAATCGTGCCAAGAAACTAGTTAAAAAAAAAAAATAGATAGTTTTAATAAAAAGGTGTATCCACATATTTTTCTGTAAAACATTAAAAATAAAATTCATATTAAATCCTTGAACAGTAAGGTAGGGTACTGGTTACCGAGAACCATAAATAATTTAGTGGTTGAATGAAATGACCGTTGAAAGTTTAAAAGACTAGCTAGTAGCTAGCATGGCATTGCACATTGTTTTATTATTGATGACCCATCCCATCGGTTGGATCCATAACCCGCATCGAGCGCGAAGGTTTAGATCCAATCCATCCGAGATCCAATATAAGGCCGTATATCCAAATCCCATTTCCACCATCTAGGGTTTTTCTTTTTCCGATTCATTCTTTCACTCCCAACCATGTCGCTCAGGCCAAATGCCAGAACCGAGGTTCGCCGAAACCGCTACAAGGTCGCCGTCGACGCCGACGAGGGCCGCCGGAGAAGAGAGGACAATTTGGTCGAGATCCGCAAGAGCAAGCGCGAAGAGAGCTTGCTCAAGAAGCGTCGCGAAGGCCTCCAACAGTTCCCCGCTCCTCTTCAGAATTCCACCGTCGACAAGAAGGTTCCTCATCCATCCATTCTTCGTTTCCTTCCCATCTTTTTGTTGCTCTGCTATAAATTAGGGTTCGATCGCTTGCTTTCATAGGGTTTTAGTTACCGTGTGTGATGGTTGTTAGTGATATTATAGAAATGGTTATTCCATTCTGTTATTGCAGTTAGAGAGTCTTCCTGCTATGGTCACTGGAGTTTGGTCGGATGATAATAGTCTGCAACTCGAGGCCACAACGCAATTTCGAAAGCTGCTTTCCATCGGTAACTGTGCTTCTCTATTCTAATTGCTATTTTTTCTGAATCGCCTGTGTGTTCTATGTATTGAGGCGGTTATTGATTTTTTGCTATAGAACGGAGTCCTCCGATTGAGGAAGTTATTCAAGCAGGTGTTGTTCCACGTTTTGTTGAGTTTCTTGTTAGGGAGGATTTCCCTCAACTTCAGGTTTGAGTGCCTTTTCGCTTTGCAACTTATGTCCCTTGTACAGTAGTTGGGTTTATTAGTTATTTGTGTCGCCTGTTGTTTGTTTAGTTTGAGGCTGCATGGGCTCTCACAAACATTGCATCCGGGACATCGGAGAACACTAAGGTGGTCATTGATCATGGGGCAGTTCCTATATTTGTCAAGCTACTTAGTTCTCCTAGTGATGATGTTCGGGAGCAGGTATGTATGTTATATTTGAATTTGGCTGTGGCATGGTAGTGTAAACATATTCCTTTTTAATTTTTACTTAACATTAATTTGCTGAAACTCTAGGCAGTATGGGCTTTGGGAAATGTTGCTGGTGATTCCCCTAGGTGTAGAGATCTAGTGCTCAGCAATGGTGCCCTCATCCCACTGTTGGCCCAGTTGAATGAGCATGCAAAACTCTCAATGCTGAGAAATGCCACATGGACATTATCTAACTTCTGTAGGGGTAAGCCACAGCCCCCATTTGAGCAGGTAATATCCTTTTCGCTATTCATTGGTTAATATTCAACATTTGAGATAGTGTCTTTTGGCGTATTATTATTGCTAATATTTTAATTGTCAGGTGAGACCAGCACTTCCGGCACTTGAGCGTTTGGTTTTTTCCAACGATGAAGAAGTTTTGACAGATGCTTGTTGGGCACTATCATATCTCTCTGATGGCACAAATGACAAAATCCAAGCAGTTATTGAGGCAGGCGTATGTGGCAGATTGGTGCAGCTCCTCATGTGAGTATTAGTTCTACTATACCTGTTAACAATAGATTCTGTTGTAATTGTTGGCTTCCTTCACCTTGTGTAAATTCTTAGCAGACACCCATCTCCCTCAGTGCTGATTCCCGCTCTTCGTACAGTGGGAAATATTGTGACTGGAGATGACATGCAGACTCAGGTAACGACATGTCAATAGTTGGTAATAGTTTGTTGATTTGTTGATACTATTGAAAGGAACACAAGCAGTTTTCAACCTTTGTTTTTTTGCCCCAGTTGTTCCAAATATTTTCTTATACAACTCAAGTTTGTTGAAAAGTTAATATGGTAGTCCTTGACTCTGCAAAAGGAGTTCAGATTGTCTGTTTTGTTGTGTTTTTTCTATCCTTCTATGTTGTGCATGTGTACCAGACCCAGTACTTCAAGAATTTCCTAATTCTGGTGGATTTTTTATCATCAGAGTATCATCAACCATGGTGCACTCCCTTGCCTTTTGAACCTGTTGACACATAATCACAAAAAAAGCATCAAGAAAGAAGCTTGATGGACTATATAAAACATTAATGATGGAAATAAGGAACAAATACAGGTAAGCCAGTAAATCCCAATTATTTGTCACTGTGCTTTTATAGTTTCTACTTTTGGTAATTTTGTTGCCTTGAAGCTGCTTATATGTTAAATTGAATTGATCTGTCAAGAACATTTGCTTATTACTTGTTGTTTTAGGTTTGGTTATGCTTCTGGGATTTTGGACTATAAGTAGTGAGGGTGAAATTATATCCAACTTAGATTTAGTTAGTCTATGCCTATGGGAGAGAAGGATAAAAGATTGTCTCAATCCCACCTTCCTAACCCCCCTCCTGCCCCCCTTTTGTAGGTAAAAAAAACTGGCCTGTTAAACATAATGCAGTTTGACATTGAGCTTTGTTTTGTGTAATTTAATTTCATAAGTTTGAGTATGAAGCTAGGCTATGCAATTTGTCTAATCAGCTAGATTGATGAATTGAAATTATTTTTTGTCATTCAAGTTAAAAAATGTCGCAAACTACATTATTGTAGCAAGCTTTTTACTTGCTGGATGTAGCGCTGTGTGTATGTGTTATCTAACCATAAGAATCTTGATCTGTTTTGATTTAGTGATATAGATAGATAAGTGAATCATTTTGGGTGCTGAATCAGCTGAATGGTTCCTGAATTGTGATAAGTTTCTGCATCACATGGTTCAGTTTGCAATTGGGTTCCTAATTGGGTCAGAATGTGACCTGGTTCTGAAAAACCCTAAAAAAATTGTTTGTTTGTTTTCTGGGAAAAAAAATTGTGGCAAATGGAGGGAAATAATTGATCCAAACCTGATAATGTGACACACATGAAATAGTTTAGAAAGAAACTTTTATTCTCTTTTCTCCATTCTCTGCCTCTCCCCACACTGTACAGTACTGTCCCATACTATTTTATTGCTGGTATTTTATACTTGTCTCTCCTCTTTGTTGCTGTCTTTATAGTAGTATTGTGCTCTGTGCTAGTTGGGATTGTGGGTGAAAATTGAGTCACACTAAAGAAAGGAGGCTGATATTACTATTTTATCTATTGATGTGTTTCTTCACTGCTAAAATGCTCTCCCATTTATGTTTTAGTTATTCATCATTAATTTGTGCTGTTATATGAATATTTTAGCTATATATCTTAATGAGTTTACAATTCATGAGTAAGAAAATAAGCCTTCTCTAATGGACAGACTTGATATATATGTTCCTAATGAGAGATGTTTTAGTCTGTATATTATTACAAAGTGTATGATCCTGTTTTTGTTGTTGAAAAATCTTATGCATTCTTTGTATGTAGGCTGTTATTGAAGCAGCTCTGATTGCCCCCCTTGTCAATCTTCTTCAAAATGCCGAGTTTGACATTAAAAAGGAAGCTGCTTGGGCAATCTCAAATGCTACATCGGGTGGAACTCATGATCAGATCAAGTATGTGATTTTGTGACTGGTTATTCTCTATACTTTTTAAATCTATGGCATTCACTTATCTTATGGGTTTTCAAGGTACTTGGTTGGCCAGGGTTGCATAAAGCCTCTCTGTGATCTGCTTGTTTGCCCGGACCCAAGGATTGTCACTGTCTGTTTAGAAGGTCTAGAGAATATTCTCAAGGTTGGAGAAGCTGAGAAGAGCCTAGGTAATACTGGAGATGTCAACTTGTATGCACAGATGATAGATGATGCGGAGGGATTGGAGAAGATTGAAAACCTGCAGAGTCATGACAACAATGAAATATACGAAAAGGCTGTTAAAATTCTAGAAACATACTGGTTGGAAGACGAGGATGAGACATTACCTTCAGGAGATGGTGCTCAAGCTGGTTTCAATTTTGGGAGCAACGAGCTTCCAGTTCCATCTGGGGGATTCAACTTTAGCTGAAGACCTTTTCCTGAGAAGGTAAATGTTTTACATGTCTCAGGTCATAAATCATACTTTTGGATCATTTTGTATAATAATAACCTCAGCATTATGATTGTAGGGAGTTGTTGGATGAAGTAGGGGTTTATGCCGGATGGCTGTTGGGATAAAGTCTGGAAGGGTCAGTCATTGCACCTTGTTTCTGCTTACAGTCTGGTCTGGTCTAGTGTCCGTCGTGGTCAATGAGTTGCTGGGGTCAGCTTACGCTTACCAAGTCCAAGTAATAAGGGACTGGTGGATTGAATTGCAGCATAATGACCTTTTTTTCAGCTGTGTTTGTTGTATAAAAATTATATATAATGCTGGTGAGTGGTGAGAAATATCTGGAAGGTTATATGTTGCAGTGGCAGGGACATGGGCTATATGGCGAGGGGTTTTTCTTCTATGCGGCTTTCAGTGCTGTTTTTATCGAGTCCTAGTTGTATTGGCAAGATTTATTTGGTCAATGTTTGATTTGGTTGGGTAAATATATTATTCCGAAACATTTTTCATGGTCTATTCCTAATTCCAATCGAAGAATTAGTGCTATTTTTTTGCATGATTATTATTTCACTTGCAAGACATTAGCCCCTTGCATTGAACTGATGCACGTCAAATAGGTGTCCTCGTTATTTTCCAAGTCTAAAATGATCTTTTTGTACTTTTCAAAGAAAATCGTACGTTTTAATTTTAAACATTGTATGTAATGTTTCAAAATTAAAAATAAAATTGCCTTGTTTTTAAGCTAATTGTGTTTAAAATGGTATAATAGCATTACAACTTAACATTGCAGCTTAAACAACTAAATATATAGTATAGGTACTTCTTTACTATACTTTTATAAAATGGTATGCTAATTATTTTATAATACATAGTCATTTTTCACATTAAGAGCGTGTTGTGACTGTAAAAACATGTTAATAAAAATGTATGTCACAGTAATTGTCAACTTTGAATGTTGGAGAAAAATAAATAAAATCAATTAAAAAATATACAAAAAAAATAGACTTGGACATCAATTTAAAGGACTGAAATTAATTTAGAGTATTTTGGATGAAAAGTTTAAATGAACTAATTTTTTTTTTAAGAATTTCAAATGTTTTGAGATAAAATATTTTGTTTTATATTGTAAAATTAAAAAGAATTGAAATTTAAGTATTTGTAATTTTTCAAAGTCTTCCAAAAAAATTAAGAAATTGAAATTCATAATATTTTTTTTTCTTTCTTATCTCACATATATACCTTTTATTTCACTCTTATCTCTAATGTTTCATTTTACCTCTTTCATACTTTATTTTCTCTCTCTTCCTTATTTACTCTCATTCTTTTTTTTTCCTCCCAATTTCTTTTCTTAATTACTAAATATTCAAAAATATTTTTTAATTATTAAATATTATTTAACATTAAATTTTAAAATTATTAAATATTTAAAAATTGGCTAATATTTATTTTTATAAATATAATCTTAAAATCTCATTATATATATATAATCAATTTTAATTATGGTTAAAATCAAATTACCATATCTAAATTAAAATTTTAAGATTTAAGAAATTTGAATTAACTTATCCAAAAAAAAATTTAAAAATGATAAAAATTGAAATAAAAATAATTCAAATTTTAATAGTTTCAAATTCCTTGAATTTTTAAAATTTTTCATCTAAACACATCCTTGAGTCTTTTTGTCTAGTCCATTATAATTTTTGCAATGTGTTAGCTCGTAATGGACTAGGTAATATGTTTTATCATCTCTAGATTCATACTATATTTTTTTTATAAAAGATATTAAGTCAAGTTTTTTTTTATTTTTTTTTTTATCGAAACTTATTTAGATAAACAAAAAAATAAGCATTCATAATTATTATTATATCAAATTTGTTATTTATATTTATATACTATAAATAGAGGTAATGACATGTTTTTTTTTTATACTTATATATTTATTTATTATCATTTTACCCCTCTAACTTTCAAAACAATTTTTTTCTTCCATATATATATATATATATATGGGACTTATTTTTGTTTTCATTTTTTTTACTCTTTTATAAATTTATTTTTCAAACTTCTCGCATTCTCTAATTAATCATTCAAATTTTTTTACATCCTCTATTTATTAATTGCTCTTTCACATTTGACTTTAATTATTTTATTATTTAATTTATTTTTATTTTATAAGCAAAATATAAATATACAAAATATATTTTGACACTAATAATGTATTAAAATTATGGCCTAATTATGATTTTAGTCCTTTAAATTTAAGATATATCTTTTTTTTCTAAAATTTAAAATTCATTTTTTTAATTCTTAAAATATAAAAAATATTATTTTAATCCATCAAATTTAAAATTTATTCTTTTAGTCTATCAAATTTGAAACGTGTTTTTAGTATAAAATATTAAAAAATTATTATTTTAGTCTCTTTACTCAAATATCAGTAATTAATTTGTTGTATATAAGTCTTTTACTTATATTATTAAAATTGAAATCGTAATATTAGATCAATTAATATTACAAAATTGTTTTAACATGTTAGTAACAATTATGTTATTACTAATATTATAAAATTGTTTTAATCTGTCACTATCAATTATGTTATTATTACTGTCATTATTATAGAAAATATATTTTATAGATTTATTGTTTTATTACAAAGTATGTTTTTAAATAAGTTATCATTTTAAATTTTATATTAAACCTTAAAATATTTTTATATCATATAAACAAATTTAATTTGATTTAGTCTTTAATTTACATTTATAATAGTGCTGAATTATTACAAAATATAAATAAGGACATTTTTTTTTTATGTAAGTCAAGTCGAAAACTTTAAAAAAAACCCATAAAACTATGACACATTAAATATTATCGAATTCTTATTATAATATCTAAATTTTTAAATTCATGTAGTTATTTTTATAAGCCTTAATTTATTATGTCTCAAGTATTTTTTTTTTTTTTTACTTTATGAAAATATTCTTATTGATTCTTTAGAGGTTAACAAATAAGTGAAGCTCATTTAATGTATATCTCTTAATCTAAAATAGTCTCTTGTTTTTATTTTTGGAAATTGGAACACAATTTTTTTAAAAATATATGTTAAGTATCTCATTAATTTAGGGATAATTTTGAAAAGAAGTACTATAAATTTAAGACAGATTTATTAACCTTAGAAAAATTAACTTTTCTTAATCTTAATAAATTAATCACTTAGGTTTCACAATAAAAACATGAATAATGTTACTGTTACAACAAAAATTATACAATATTATTTTTGTGTATATTTTTGTTTATCACTTCATTTAATATAAAAAAAATATCATTAATAATTGAGAGAATACAGGATAAATGAAATTATATGGAAAGATGCACATAAAAATACACAGAGATTAATATAAAAAGTTGAGTAATATTCATTGAACATATTTTCAACCTAAAGCAGATTGAGGCACGACAAAACCTAATTCGGGGTGACATTGAGAAAGCATCCCATCGGTTGGATCGTAACCCGCATCGAACGCCAAGGTTTAGATCCAATAAAAGGCCATTCAAATCCCATTTCCAGCCTAGGGTTTTTCTTTTCTGATTCATTCTTTCACTCCCAACCATGTCGCTCAGGCCAAATGCCAGAACCGAGGTTCGCCGCAACCGTTACAAGGTCGCCGTCGACGCCGACGAGGGCCGCCGTAGGCGAGAGGACAATATGGTCGAGATCCGCAAGAGCAAGCGCGAAGAGAGTTTGCTTAAGAAGCGTCGCGAAGGCCTCCAACAGTTCCCCGCTCCTCTTCAGAATTCCACCGTCGACAAGAAGGTTCCTCATCCATCCATTCTTCATTTCCTTAGCATCTTTTTGTTGCTCTGTTTTAATTAGGGTTCGATCGCGTGCTTCGATAGGTTTTTAGTTACTGTGTGTGGTGGTTAGTTATATTATAGAAGCGGTTTTTCGATTCTGTTATTGCAGTTAGAGAGTCTTCCTGCCATGGTTACTGGAGTTTGGTCGGATGATAATAGTCTGCAACTCGAGGCCACAACGCAATTTCGAAAGCTGCTTTCCATTGGTAACTGTTATTTGTGTGTGAATACTGCGCTTCTATATTCTAATTCCGCGTGTGTTGTATGTATTGATGCGGTTATTTACTTTTGCTATAGAGCGGAGTCCTCCGATTGAGGAAGTTATTCAAGCAGGCGTTGTTCCACGTTTTGTTGAGTTTCTTGTTAGGGAGGATTTCCCTCAACTTCAGGTTTGAGTGCCTTTTCGCTTTGCAACTTATGTCCCTTGTTTAGTTGTTGGTTTTGTTAGTTATTTGTGTCCCCTGTTGTTTGTTTAGTTTGAGGCAGCATGGGCTCTCACAAATATTGCATCTGGGACTTCTGAGAACACTAAGGTGGTCATTGATCATGGGGCAGTTCCTATATTTGTCAAGTTACTTAGTTCTCCTAGTGATGATGTTCGGGAGCAGGTATGTATGTTATATTTAAATCTTGCTGTGGCACGCCAGTGTAAGCATCTTCCTTTTTAATTTTACTGAACATTAATTTGCTGAATTTCTAGGCAGTGTGGGCTTTGGGAAATGTTGCTGGCGATTCTCCTAGGTGTAGAGATCTAGTGCTCAGCAATGGTGCTCTCATCCCACTATTAGCCCAGTTGAATGAGCATGCAAAACTCTCAATGCTGAGAAATGCCACGTGGACATTATCTAACTTCTGTAGGGGTAAGCCACAACCTCCATTTGAGCAGGTAATATTTTTTCGGTATTTATCGGTTAATTGTTAAAATTTTGAGATAGTGTCTTTTGGCATATTTCTATTGCTAATGTTTTAATTGACAGGTGAGACCAGCACTTCCGGCTCTTGAGCGTTTGGTTTTTTCCAACGATGAAGAAGTTTTGACAGATGCTTGTTGGGCACTATCATATCTCTCTGATGGTACAAATGACAAAATCCAAGCAGTTATTGAGGCAGGCGTATGCGGCAGATTGGTGCAGCTCCTCATGTGAGTATTAGTTCTACTATACCTGTTAAAAATAGATTCTGTTGTAATTGTTGGTTGCCTTAACTTTGTGTGAATTCTTTTCAGGCACCCATCTCCCTCAGTGCTGATTCCGGCTCTTCGTACAGTGGGAAATATTGTGACTGGAGATGACATGCAGACTCAGGTAAAGACATGTCAATGGTTGGTAATAGTGTCTTGATACTATTGAAAGGAACACAAGCAATTTTCAGCCTTCGTTTTTTGTCCCAATTGTTCCAAATATTTTCTTATTCAACTCAAGTTTGTTGAAAAGTTAATATGGTAGTTCTTGACTCTACAAAAGGTGTTCAGATTGTCTGTTTCGTTGTGTTTTTTCTATCCTTCTATTTTGTGCATGTCTACCAGTACTTTAAGAATTTCCTAATTCTGGTGGATTTTTTTACCATCAGAGTATTATCAACCATGGTGCACTCCCTTGCCTTTTGAACCTGTTGACACATAATCACAAAAAAAGCATCAAGAAAGAAGCTTGCTGGACTATATCAAACATTACTGCTGGAAATAAGGAACAAATACAGGTAAGCCAGTAAATCCCAAATATTTGTCACTCTGCTTTTATAATTTCTATTTTTGGTAATGTTGGTGTCTTGAACCTGCATACATGTTAAATTGAATTGATCTGTTGAGAACATTTGCTTATGACTTGTTTTATATTTGGTTATGCTTCTGTGATTTTGGACTATAAATAGTGAGGGTGAACTTATACCCAACTTTGATTTAGTTAATCCATGTCAAAGCAGACAATGATGATTGATTTAGACTCGATTTCACCTGCATCCCCCTTCCCTTTTCTAAGGGAAAAAGTGGATTTTATTAATTTCTGCATCACACGGCTCAGTTTGCAATTGGGTCAGAATGTGACCTGGTTCTGCAAGCCCCTTAAGTTGTGGGTTTTCTGGAAAAAAAAATTTGGAAGGGAAATAATTGATCTAAACCTGATAATGTGACCCACATGAAATAGTTTAGAAAGAAACTGTAATTCTCATTTCCCCATTGTCTGCCTCACCCTACACTGTACAGTGCTCGCCTATTTTGTTGCTGGTATTTTTATACTTGTCTCTACTCGTTGTTGCTGGTATTTTGTGCTATTTGGATTGTGGGTGAAAAATGAGTCTCAAAAGCAAAGAGACTGATATTACTTTTTAATCTGTTGATGTTTTTGTGTTTCTTAATGTTAAAATGCTCTCCGATTTATGTTTTAGTTATTGATCACGAATTTGTTCTGTTATATGACTGTGTTATCTATATGTTTAGTCTCAAATTGGAAGACTAATATTTGTGTTTCTAATGAAAGATGTTTTAGTCTATATATTATTGCGTAGTGCTAGATTCTCTTTTTCCTGTTGAAAAATCTTATGCACTCTATGTATGTAGGCTGTTATTGAAGCAGCTCTGATTGCCCCCCTTGTCAATCTTCTTCAAAATGCCGAGTTTGACATTAAAAAAGAAGCTGCTTGGGCAATCTCAAATGCTACATCGGGTGGAACACATGATCAGATCAAGTATGTGATTTTATGTGATTGGTTATTCTTTATAATTTTTAAATCTATGGTATTCACTTATCTTATGGGTTTTCAAGGTACTTGGTGAGCCAGGGTTGCATAAAGCCTCTCTGTGATCTGCTTGTTTGCCCGGACCCAAGGATTGTCACTGTCTGTTTAGAAGGTCTAGAGAATATTCTCAAGGTTGGAGAAGCTGAGAAGAGCCTAGGTAATACTGGAGATGCCAACTTGTATGCACAGATGATAGATGATGCCGAGGGATTGGAGAAGATTGAAAACCTGCAGAGTCATGACAACAACGAAATATACGAAAAGGCTGTTAAAATTCTTGAAACATACTGGTTGGAAGATGAGGATGAGACATTACCTTCAGGAGATGGTGCTCAAGCTGGTTTCAATTTTGGAAGCAATGAGCTTCCAGTCCCATCTGGTGGATTCAACTTTAGTTGAAGACCTTTTCCTGAGAAGGTAAATGTTTTACATGTCTCAGGTCATAAATCATACTTTTGGATCATTTTGTATAATAATAACCTCAGCATTATGATTGTAGGGAGTTGTTGGATGAAGTAGGAGTTTATGCCGGATGGCTGTTGGGATAGTCTGGAGGGTCAATCATTGCACCTTGTGTCTGCTTATAGTCTGGTCTGGTATGGTCTGGTGTAGTGTCGTCCTTCGTGGTTAATGAGTTGCTGGGGTTAGTTTACGCTACCAAGTCCAAGTAATAAAGGACTGGTGGATTCAACAGCAGCATAATGACCTTTTTTTCAGCTGTTTTGTTGTATAAAATATATATATAATATATATTGCTGGTGAGTGGTGAGAAATATCTGGAAGGTCGTATGTTGCAGTGACACAGACACGGGCTATATGGCGAGGGGTTTTTCTACAATGCGGCTTTCAGTGCTGTTTTTATCGAGTCCTAGTTGTACTGACAATTTATTTGGTCAGTCTTTATTTGATTTGGGTAAATATATTATTCCGAAACAATTTTTAAGATCTATTTCAAATTCCAATTGAAGAATTAGTGCTATTTTTTCGCGTGGTTGTGAATATTTTGCAACATGATTATTTCACTCGCAAGACATGAGCTGAAGAGCCCCTTGCATTCAACTGCTGCACGTGATTTAAATTTCGAAATTAAATTTGATTGGTATTTATTCTGCCTTTTGCATTTGATATGTCATGCAGAATTATTTTTTCCTTTATAACTTCCCTTTCTTTTCGGTTTTTTTAGTAGTTTTGTTTACATTTTTTTGACACCGTTTATATTTATTTGTTATTTTAAAGATTCAAGACAACGTTAATTATATTGACAATTATATCCTTGTGTTTTTAATGAATGAATTGTATCATTGAGTAAAATAATAAAGGTATAATAGGAGATATCAAAATATTACATTTCTTGATGTGTATAAAATTAAATGATCGTTAAAATTTCAAGCCAGTAAAATCAATTTACTCAACTGTTTTTTTTTTTTTCTATTAAAATTGCACGTTTAGTTTTTAACTAAACAATTTACTTCTCTCGTTATGTGTATGTATTTCTTTGGTCTTTTATATTCCTTGGCAAACAGAGTGTGGAAGGTGGTCAAGTACAACCACGGAAGATATAAGAAGGAACGACCATTACCAGCGACAAAGGTGTTGTAGTGAAGCTTGAATAGGAGCATCGTATCACATGACTCTTCTCTTTTGATTGTTGAATGCTTCGGAGAGCATGTGGACGAATCTGGTCCCTCGCCGGAGTCTTTGGTCTATAGACATTCATCAAGTACAAGGGGTAATTATGTCAAAGGCAAATGTTATATCAAACAATTTTTATTTTTAATTATTAGTTTAGAAAATTATAAAAAAAGCATCTGAAAAGTGTGATATCGTCGGTTTCTATAACTATTAATAATATATAAATGTGATACAATATTTTGGTGTAAACATTTTTAAGACATTTCTATTCTTTATTTATTTTGGTAATCATATACCCTTTTTTTTAAGTATAGAACAATTCTGTAATTTTATTTTATTAATTTTAAAAATTATTATTTATTTAAAATAATTTTTTTTCAATAAACTATAATTCCACTATAGATTTTAACTTAAACACATACAATATTCACGAGACAATTTTCATTTGGTATCCATTTTTTCTTTTTTTATTTTATCTTTAATAACTATACATAATCTCTAATAATTCTACAAATTATCAGGATAAATTTATTTTTTTATAATTCCTAATTTATGCATGCAATGTCTTTTTTTGACTGATAAATAATAAATTAATGATTATATTTTACTTCTCCACTATGCATCATATACAAGTCTAACTTTTACTCAGAAAATTTAGTCTATATATTAAATATGAATAGTTATTTTTTTAGAATTTTTTATTTAATTAAATTTTTTTTTAAATTCTAACTTCTTACCAAATTTATTTTTTATTTTTAATATTTATTTAATAAGTATTTTTAATATTTATAAAATAAAATTTAATATTTTATTTATTATTATTATTTACATATGATAAATATTTAATCCGAACATTACACGAATTAAAATAATAATGACGATATATAAATAGAAACAACTTTTTTTTTTACACCAATAGGAACAACCTGTTAAAAATCGAATAATTAAATATGAATGAAGAAGTAATTGCTAATGATTACCAATTACCACTATGAAGTTAGCCTACTGAGTGAAGGCCCCCAAATGACCATAAGTTAATTTATAAAATAAAAATTTCTTAGGGCGATTAGTAAAGGTGGTTAGAATCACATGATAAAAATTAGGATAAATTTTTAAATGATTTTTGAGATTATATCGTTTGATTATTTTATTATGTTTTGAACATTTAAAATTGTGAGATTTCAAAGTTTTCTTTAAAGGTTTCCAAGTTTATGTAAAAACAAAATTATTTTTTTATAATCTTATTTTTAACAACGATATATGACTAAAAAGTGTAAAATTAATGTTTTACCGAATAATGTGTCTATTTATTTTCTAATGTACCTATTTATTCTCCAATTATCTAAAAAGTATAACAGGTAAATATGTAATAAATACTTTGAAAAACTAAAATATTAATCATTATCTTAATTCTTATGCATAATCTTAAAGACAATAAAAAAAATGGAAAGAGTATATTAGTTTATAAACAACCCTACTGTTGATGTTCTTTTATCAAAATATTCAGTTTACAATAATTATTACTTTTACTGTAGTTAATGTTAATAATGATTACTGAAATGAAATGTCGATCTTAATTAGAAAAAAAAAAACATTAATATTCATGCTAATCTGCCATCTTATCATGATCTAAGTTTTGTCCATAGCATGGCAAAACGGGTCTGGGTCTGGCTCCACAGCCCGGATTGGACATTCTTGTTCGCCGGATTGGTGGGTCGGCATTGGTTGACTGTTGACATGTCTTATGTTTTTATTATTATTTTATTTTTAATCATAAACTTAAATAAATTATAAAATTTATTATGAGAGTAATTTATAATTTATAATATAATAAATATATTATAAGTTTGATTTATTTTATTTTATTATAAGTTGTGAGATTATTATTATTATTATATATTTATTTTATTATATATCAAATTTGATATTCGTTATATAATAAATCAAATTAAATTTTTTATAATTTAATATTTATTTTATTATTTACATACACTGATATAAGTAGATATTTTATATATTAATAAAAAAATATGTTCAAAGAGATATTTAAAATAAATGAAAAAGAAATTTCTTTTTTATTTTTTTGGTAGAATAGCAGGTTCATTAGCTTGCCAACCTATCCTTAGATGACGTAAATTATGATGTCTATCTCATTTTTACTTTGCGAGTTAACAATAAGAGAGTCTAAACAAATTTGATTAATTTATTTTATCACTCCTAACATCGTACATTAGTTCATTTAGTAGTTTTTTTTTACAAGCTTATTTAGTAGTTTAGGTATTTTTGGACTTATTGACCATCTTAAATTAAAAGAAATACAAAAATTAATTTTAAATCTATTTACCTTAATAAATTGTTTTTGCCATGTTAGCATTACTGCTAAGAAAATGTTATATATTTCGGGCACCATCAATTTAAAACAAAAAATAACATAAAACACTCGAAGCTTTTAATGTTCTTCTTTTAGTTGTGTTAAAGTGACAAAAACAATTCATTCAAGTAAGTAGTTTTTAAAATAATTTATTTTCACGGTTTTTTAAAATTTAAGATAGTCCAAAAACCGTATTTTTGCGTGTGGTGTTAAAATATTAGTGACGGGAAGAAGACCCTTATTTGAAGTTTGAATTTCCCATCCCCATTTTCATTGGAGTCTTGGACATAAAATTGTGAAACTCTGTTTTTTCCCATCCCCGTCTCCTTCTCTTTTATTTTGTTTTAATTTGTCTTTTTCTCAGAAAAAAAAATTGAACCAATACTTTCTATATATATATATATATATATATATTGTTCTTACCGGAAATCTGCCGTAGAGCTGATCCGTCAGGTAAGATCGGTGAGCCTCTTTCACTGGTACGCTTGTGCTCCAAGATAAGGGTGGTATCTGCAAAAAAGACTCTTATGCTAAAGTTAGTTTTTGTATGAGTATAAATCTCGTATATGTAATGCACGTAACTTGATGTGATTTAGGGTTGCTTTGGGCCTTGAGCCTGAGATAAGATATGATAAGATTAGATAGTGGATCTCGTCCGAAGCGAGATCCCTCGAGATCAGTTATGATCTGCTTAAATGCCGAGTTGACGTCGCGTAGCGCGTGCCCGACCTCATCTTGTGCTGTGATGCCGAGCTCGGAACTCGGCTTCGCAGTACGGACAGTACATATATATATATATATATTACTTTAATCTAATCAGGTTAGACTAATTAAAATTTCTTATGTATCAAATCTAAACCGACCAAATTCAATCATATTCAATTTAATTTACATAAAAATAAAATTTATTATTTAAATGATAGAAATTAAAGAATAATAAATTGTTAGATAACTTGTGAAACTCATTGCCATGCCAGATAGTCCAATGAGTAAAGAATTCAATATTATAAATTAAAAATTGCTTGTTAGTAAAAATTCGTGTCGTACGAATACTAAAAGATTATCAATTACATGTGATTTCATTTGTTATTTTTTATATATACATCTTTAATGTGCACATGAGCCAATTGTTTTAAAACATCTATTTCGTAAAAAGTTCCATATCAAAGATTCTTGTGCCATTTGGCATTGCTCTTGCAAACTTGCTCGTAAATATTATAAACTAACCTAATTAAAACACATTTGAATGGGTCTATCTTATACTAAAAGTCCAAGTTCCACTTCCCAAAACAAACTTAATAATAAAAATAAATAGAATTTTTTTATTTAAATATATTGATAGGGTTTAGTTGAACTCTAATAAATAAATTTTCGATATTCTAACTAATAAATTGATTGGATTGTAAATTTATAATCCAAATAAAATTGATAACTCAAATTAATTGAGATTTTTTTTATTTTGGTTCAAACTCATTATATTGGTTTAAATTATAATCATCATAATCAAAATGATATTTAATAATTGCTCATAATTATATTATTAAAATAGGGAATCGTTATTTAAAAAATGGATATAATATAAGTATGTGAATCTTGTAAACAGAAGTATAAGTTAGTTGGCTAATTAATGTCATATCGGGATTGAAAGACTTAAAAATGACTTAAAGAGAGTATCACAAAAAGACATAAGTATTGGTCCCTATTATATGGGAAGTATGGGAAGTTGACCTTGCAAGTTGACATAAAAAGGTCGGTCAAAGGAAATCAACTTAGAAAGATTGACATAAAATCTTTTAAAATGTACACTCTTTTGACCTAAAGCCTTATAGATAAAGTAACTCTGACATTGATTATTGTTATATAACTTCAGGTCAATCAATGACGTAGGATGATGTAAAAAAGATAAATAAATATAAACATCTATTATGTGAATAATAACATTTTTATTAACAAAAAATGTACATGACAAATATGCAAGCAAGGAATGGAAATACATAAATATATAAAAAGCTTAAACATGTTTTCAATTTTCCAAATTTGGAGCACACATATATTATGGTCTTTAAAAATGAAGGATTTAGGGTTTAAGATTTATGATTTAGACTTTAATAATAAAAATAAATAGAATTTTTTTATTTAAATATATTGATAGGGTTTAGTTGAACTCTAATAAATAAATTTTCGATATTCTAACTAATAAATTGATTGGATTGTAAATTTATAATCCAAATAAAATTGATAACTCAAATTAATTGGGAATTTTTTTTTATTTTGGTTCAAATTTATTATATTGGTTTAAATTATGATCGTCATAATCAAAATGATATTTAATAATTGCTCATAATTGTATTATTAAATTAGGGAACCGTTATTTAAAAAATAGATATAATATAAGTATGTGAATCTTGTAGATAGAAGTACAAGTTAGTTGGCTAATTAATGTCACATAGGGATTGAACAACGACTTCAAAATGACTTAAAGAGGGTATCACAAAAAGACATAAGCATTGGTCCCTATTATATGGGAAATTGACCTTGTAAGTTGACTTAAAAAGGTCCGTCAAAAGAAATCAACTTATAAAGATTGACATAAATTTTTTGAAAATGTACTTCTCTTTTGACCTAAAGCCTTATAGATAAAGTAACTCTGACATTGATTATTGTTATATAACTTCAGGTCAATCAATGACGTAAAATGATGTAAAAAAGATAAATAAATATAAACATCTATTATGTGAATAATAACATTTTTATTAACAAAAAATGTACATGACAAATATGCAAGCAAGGAATGGAAATACATAAATACATAAAAAGCTTAAACATGTTTTCAATTTTCCAAATTTGGAGCACACATATATTACGGTCTTTAAAAATTATGGATTTAGGGTTTAAACTTTAGTTATAAAAATAAAAATAAAATATTTTTAGTTTTTCTACTCAAATGTAATTAATAAATATGTCAAATAAAACTCACATGTTAGTGAATATGTTGAATAAAAGTAAATAATTCTCCTACTAGTATCATGTTAGTCAAAATATCCCATTAAAATAACTAATACCACATAATTATCTCAAATTGTCACTATTAATTATGTTATTAGTAGTTTTAGGAACTAAAATATTATTTAAAATTATAAGAATTAAAAAGATAAATTTTAATATTGCGAGACCAAATTTTTTTCCCCTGAATTTGAAAGTTAACTACATTCCACTTGCTGTAATCTTGGATATCACTAAAGTGTTTTTTTTTCTTCTACTTTAATATGATTTTAAAAAACGAGTACTGAAATATTACGTATATTTAGTTTCATTAACTTGAGAGAATTTAGTATTTTAATAAATGTAAGTATGGGAGAATTAATGCAAAGGTTTTAAGAGATTACCTATCCTATATTCAAAGCACCCCCGGTAAAAAAAGAATTGTTTTTATTGACGAACAAACTCTGAAGGATATGAAGAAATAAATAGGAAAGCAAAGATAGAAGGTGTGGGTGAAGAAGACGGAGGTCAACGAGTGATGGAGCAGGGATTCACATGTTTTAGGGACAGACTAGAAAGTACCATTTTTGTCTTAATGGCTTAAAGTTGGTTTTATTTATACAAAATAATGGGACAACAAAGCTTTCACACATCATTATCGCCGTCATTATTGTGAAAACCATCCACGTAATATTTGTTTTGTTGTTTTGATTCAGATAGAAAATGCGGAAGATGCTAATTGGTTAAATGAAATATTGTTGATAGGTAAACATTTTTTTGTTGAATCAGAACTAAGGCACACAAATAAATGAGAGGCCACAACTCCAACTAGTGGTCACACCTTTGTATTTCCCACTATCCTGTCCCCCATCACTATACTTTCACACAATTCACTACCCAATATCCATTAAATTATTACCTTTCATGTCCAAAACTGATTAGAATAAATAATGTTATATATATATAGATTTAGACAAGAGAATATATAAGAGTGGTTAAGAGGGAAAAGCATGGCGCGCGTGTTTGATGATTTCATTGGGTTTTGGGTTTTGGCGGGTGAATGGAAATGGAGGGGTATTAAGGTAATTTAAGAATGGTTGAGTTAGGGTTTTGGTGTCCCATTTATAAAGGTCTGGTGTTTTAAGATTAGATCTGCTGCGGCTGTTGCGCGTGCGAGTGTGAGTGTGAGTGTCTGCGAGCGTCGTCGTTTCGATTCCCTCCTCTTTCCTTTTCTCTTTCTCTCTCTCTCTCTCTCCTTCGCCACTCTCACTCTGCATGCTCTCTCATTCCTCCACATCCAATCGAATCGAATCTCAGATCTCGGAGATCAGAATGGTGGATCCAACTGGAAAAGTGAGTGCCGCACTTGTCTATTCTCTTAAACCCTTTCCGATTAGGGTTTCCTTCTGCTAACGCTAACGCTAACGGAGGTTGTGTTGTGTTGCAGGGATCGGAAGGCGAGGAATCAAACCCTAACGCGGGGAACAGCAACAATGAGCACAAGAAAACATGCGCCGATTGCGGCACCACCAAGACCCCTCTCTGGAGAGGTGGTCCAGCGGGTCCTAAGGTAAGTTTCCCTCCCCTCCCTCAGATCGCGCCACGTGGCCTTCAATTCACTCGCTTATCCTTTTCTTTCCCAGTCTCTTTGCAACGCCTGCGGGATCAGAAGCCGCAAGAAGAAGAGAGCCATCTTGGGGATCAGCAAGGGGACCACCGAGGATCTCAGAAAGGGCAAGAGGAACAACGCCGCCGCCTTCAAGAGGGACGTTTTCTTGCACCGATCGCATTGGAAGAAGCTCGGCGAGGAAGAGAGAGCGGCCGTCTTGTTGATGTCGCTCTCCTATGGATCCGTTTATGCCTGAAGCAAATTTCATTACATTATTGTTAAGGAGGATTCTAGATTTTGTTTTAGGATGTTACCCTAACCTTTCCGAAGTGTATATGTTTTGTTTTTCTCTATTGAATCAGTGTGTCTGTCTCAACAGTTGTAAGAAATCAAAATCATTCAAGTCCAATTTTGCTAATATACCTACCTATTTTCAACTCCTCTTTCCCTGCTTTTTTTCTACCTATGTCGCCGCTCATCCATCATATCCATTTTTACTAATATTTGAAGCGGGGTGTCTTCTTCTACTAAAAAATCTAGTTAATTTAGGGTTTAATGAATGTACGACTCAAATCGAATTATTTCCTTTTATGAGAAGTGGATTAAAATTGGGTAAGTCGAGTACATATATATATATATATATATATATATATTTTTAAAAAAAAGTTGAAAAGATGGCAATTGGGGGAAAAGGGATAGAAATTTTGAAAGAGGAGGGAACGTGAAATTCATAGTTCCCGCTACGAGTTTGACTCTTGAAAACATGCCATTTAGGAATCAATCACTAATGAGGACTGTGTTTTCACACTTGCGGTCCTGCTTGCTTGGTCGGATTTGAAGACAATAGTCCAAAGTCCAAACCCCAGATATCTTTTTCGGACAAAGGACTACCTTTTAATCAAGTTGCCAATTAAGTATTAAAAACACAGGATAATTACCTCATTACAGGATACTCATTTTTCCATGTGTTTTCGTGTAAAGCACTATTACCCTTTTTCAATATCGATTTGTTTTGTACAATGCCACCCGAGACATGTTACCACGAGAATGTGATTTTCACTTGTATTTGGCTTTATGTTATGTAGTGATCATGGAATCCTAATGGAGCACAAACAATATTTTGTTGCTTTTGCTTCGCTAGAAAAGCACATATAAATATTCAGCATTCGGAACCTAGACAGTAAATTAAATATAAGAAAGAATTTGAATTTACTATTTTTAATTAGGATTGACCATCTATTTTAATGTGAACTACTAAAGTTGTTCCAAAGAATTCAGAAACCACCCAACACGGTGAATATTTCTAACAAAAATAACAACCTACAAAACTCGCAAATAATTACACTTTAAGGCGTGTAGTGTCTTATATATTAATAAATGACAAGATAAATAATAAGCAATTATTGTGAATATTCAACATAAACTTACCTAAAATAACTCCAAATGTAACTTTCAATATTCAACATCTAGAATCTGGACAACAAATTGAATAATGGTAAAAAAAAAACTAATATTGACTTGTTTTTATTTATTAATGAATGATAATTTATTTCGTTTTTTATTAGCTATCAGTTTCTCTGACTTAATTTTGTGGCTCTTATAATACAATCTGATTTCTGATGCTCTTGTCTTTCGTTTTCCTTTTGTTACTCTTTCACGTGGTTAAAAATTTCGCACAATGATTTGAACATTGTGAGTGTTTGAAAAATAATTGATTGTAAACTAAGTAAATTTTTATTTTGATAAATTTAATAAAAAATAATTTAGTTGAAAAGATGGCAATTGGGGGAAAAGGGATAGAAATTTTGAAAGAGGAGGGAACGTGAAATTCATAGTTCCCGCTACGAGTTTGACTCTTGAAAACATGCCATTTAGGAATCAATCACTAATGAGGACTGTGTTTTCACACTTGCGGTCCTGCTTGCTTGGTCGGATTTGAAGACAATAGTCCAAAGTCCAAACCCCAGATATCTTTTTCGGACAAAGGACTACCTTTTAATCAAGTTGCCAATTAAGTATTAAAAACACAGGATAATTACCTCATTACAGGATACTCATTTTTCCATGTGTTTTCGTGTAAAGCACTATTACCCTTTTTCAATATCGATTTGTTTTGTACAATGCCACCCGAGACATGTTACCACGAGAATGTGATTTTCACTTGTATTTGGCTTTATGTTATGTAGTGATCATGGAATCCTAATGGAGCACAAACAATATTTTGTTGCTTTTGCTTCGCTAGAAAAGCACATATAAATATTCAGCATTCGGAACCTAGACAGTAAATTAAATATAAGAAAGAATTTGAATTTACTATTTTTAATTAGGATTGACCATCTATTTTAATGTGAACTACTAAAGTTGTTCCAAAGAATTCAGAAACCACCCAACACGGTGAATATTTCTAACAAAAATAACAACCTACAAAACTCGCAAATAATTACACTTTAAGGCGTGTAGTGTCTTATATATTAATAAATGACAAGATAAATAATAAGCAATTATTGTGAATATTCAACATAAACTTACCTAAAATAACTCCAAATGTAACTTTCAATATTCAACATCTAGAATCTGGACAACAAATTGAATAATGGTAAAAAAAAAACTAATATTGACTTGTTTTTATTTATTAATGAATGATAATTTATTTCGTTTTTTATTAGCTATCAGTTTCTCTGACTTAATTTTGTGGCTCTTATAATACAATCTGATTTCTGATGCTCTTGTCTTTCGTTTTCCTTTTGTTACTCTTTCACGTGGTTAAAAATTTCGCACAATGATTTGAACATTGTGAGTGTTTGAAAAATAATTGATTGTAAACTAAGTAAATTTTTATTTTGATAAATTTAATAAAAAATAATTTTGAAAATTTTAATTTGGTTTAGATACAACAAAAAAATAAAATTTGATGTAATAAATAAGTTGTAAGAGAAGAATACCCATAAAAGAAAACATAAGTTTCAAAATTTTCAGATTTGTAAAAACAATTCATTTACTTTTCTTTTTTTTTAATAAAAAAAGTTATTTGTAAATTCAGTTGTTGCCTCAAACAACAAGTTTACTTTTTTTTTTTTAGGCAAAGAAAAAATATATTAAAAAATTAACTTCAAAATCTTAGACATAAATATATGAAACTAGCAAAAATACTAACTACTCAATGAATATAATCAAGTGCTTGGACAGCTGTTGCTAGACATTAGTAACTCTCAAAACCAAGTAGTGAACTCAATGATAATAGCATCTCAAACGATAGATTATGACAGTATCGACAAGAAATAAAATACTATCAACAGATTGATCTTCAAACTGTAATTATAAGAAACAACAAAAATAATTCCTAACAAAAATGGCTGAATCTAGGAAATAGAAAACTTTGAAAAACGTAGTGTATGTAAACCGAGAAAGACCGAAAGCACCACGAAGTGAGAATTCATTGTTGAATAATTAAAATAAATAATTAAGATAATAGAAAATAAAAACCAAGTACTACTGCCAAATCAACTCTGAAATTTCTTGATAACCAATAACACTGATATGCTCAATGCTTACAAAACTAAACATTCTCTTTTATGATGTCGTTACTATTGAAATTTAAGCATTTTACTCATTCAATTTGGTTTCCTAGGTTGACTACAATAAGTTAGTTTTGAATGACAAAAGGTTCGACCGTACTTAATTAAATAGGCAATTATATGAGTTAAATATGAAAAAATATTTAATTAATTTGACAATTTATACTTAAACAGTGACATCCAAACTGAGAATCAGAGTGCTGCTTAAAGTGTTCCCCTTTTTTAATTAGATGAAAAGGGCAATTTTTATCATATAACATTACTTTTCTAGTTGTGCTTTTCACATAAATAATGTAGTGACTACGAGTGAAGCCACACCAAATAAACCAAAGTAGTAATAATATAAATAAATACAGGGAATTAAAAAAAAAAATGTTTTACACAAAGCCGTGTAAGCATCCTGTGTAAATGTATTAATGTACTGAAGAATTTATAGAATCATGGATAGGATAAAGTGGGCAATCAATAAGAACGAACCCTTTTTTCCCATCCTTTTGAGGGTACAGTAAGCAATAATTGATTTTGGTTTTGGTCTACTTGCTGTCTGTCTAGTGTCTTCCCAATATATACAAAGATATTACAATAATTTTTATACATTGATTTTAATGAAAAATTGATTGTGAGTGACACTTATTCTTTAATTAAGGTATCTAAAATTTAAATCCTAATATAAAATATGTTATGTTAAAAAAAAAAATTCACTCTATATATACTGAATCAAAAATTAGTTACCGTTTATATCGATAACTACTTCATACCATGGGTATCTAAAAATATACATCCAGTTTTCTTTTCTCCATTTCTCTATTAGATTACTCGTTTTATCCCTGAATTATTTTCTTCTCTTCGTGAATCTTTCTTACGTGCAAAAGTTGTTGTATAAAAAATAAGTACAAAACTAAAAATACAACTACTTGTGCAAGTAGCAGTAATTTAACTATTGCTAAGATGTAAATGAACCAGAAACATCGTACCTAACGCGGTTCAGACGGTTATGTAACAGTTCATTATTGTTGGAAAATTTATGAGGTGCTCTTCAAATTTGCTCAAGGCAACTTATGTACTACTCCTACGTAACATGTTCGCATTCCATTAATCACATTCATAATAATTTCATTAAAACAAACACAACATTGGCACATTGCTCTGCTTAACTAATTAAAGTCATCAAGTTAGTCGCGATATATTATATGATATGTTAACTAGTTGAAATTTATTAAAAAATACTAAATTTAGTGAATCTTGCATCTTATTTAATTATTCTTTCTTTTGATTTTATAAACATAAGAGTCTATTTAAATATATTTTAAAGAATTAATTAAACCAAAAGTTATAGAAACTCTCTTATTTTACCATGCCAAAGGTCTACAATATTGGACTCTGAGACAAGCACTTCGTTTGAGAATTATTCCCAATAATGATTGTGCGCAACTAAATGGAATTCCCAGTGGAATATAATAGAAGAACTCAAAGGTAAACATGATTGGTCTTTTTTCACCTTTATATTCCAAGTTATTATTGTAGCCATGGACCTGTAGTACCGTAACAGGTCAATTACATATAATTTGTTAAGCACAAGGTTATATATGTACTACTGCCTTTTCTATATAGCGACTGCAAATGTTGAATATTAAGCTTGAATTCAAAAAGATGAATATAATGAAATTAATAAAGATCGCCGCCATTATTATCCACTCGTGATTACGTCAGCACCAGAATCTATTTGTGGTGAAAACTTTCAGGGTGTGATTGTTGACTATCTGTACAAGAGGGATCTACTGCATTCATTTTCTCCTTCTTCATGCATTGACGCATTTCATAATTCTGAATTTTCTGATGACATAAACCTCTTCATAATTTTT